TACAACTGTAAGAACTTCAACAAGGAAATAAATTGAAAAATTATTTTTTAAAAAAAGCAGAAGAATTTATCACCTGAAGAAAAGGTTAAGAGCAAGGTATAGGATGGATATAAATGTGGATATTGGTATTTATGTATGACCTATTAGTTACCCGCCAGAATGCTAGACACTGATTAAATAAGTGAAGGCAAAAAAAAAAGTTGCATGTAAAACAGCATGAACCCATTAATTTCATGTTTTAATTTCTGACAGTAAAATTCAACAATAGGAAGATGGGGTGCAACAAAACTTGAAAAATATAAGCAAGTAGGGTTCTGCAGCTATTGTAATATTTATTTCAGCTACAAATTCTATCAAATCCTAATGATAGTCGACATGTAAACCAAAGATGACTTACCCTATAATTGAATAAGCTTCATAGAAGCTTTATGCATATAATAATTACCCTATATTTGAAAATATGGCATATTTTCACCCTCTAGAGTCTGCGTATCTTTTTGGCTTGTACGTTCCCATTTATTTTATAAGAATGAAATATGATATAGGATCCTTAAAGGCAAAGGAGGTTAAATTCTGACCACAAGCGTTATTTATGGAAATTTTCATAACGCAAATGATGAATAAAGTGTAGTTCAGATACTGATTAGTTATCTTATCAATAGTCCGTTGCACTCCATCTGGGGATCACTCTATAGAAGAATATATATATTTCACAGTCACTATTGCTAAGCGAATTTATTCACCACATGATTCTAGATTAAAATTACGGCAAATGCCTGTGTGGTAAAAAAAATCAAGCCATCTTTTCAAGGATTTTCCCTTTTGGTGTGTGTGTGGGGGGGGGGGGGGGGAAGGAGAAAGAAGTGGACTATCCCCCATACCACTATGGAGGATTATTCAATCTTCACAATCCCCCGCTGCCAACACCGGCGGCGAATGGAATGATCCTCGGGCAGCACCTCCCACCCACCGTTCGCGCTCTGCTCCAAAGTCCAATTGCCCTCCCAGCGCCATCCAGCCGGTGCCGGGGTATCCGACGGCTTCGGCACCTTACGCCCCTGGCTGTCCTGCCAGGCGGGGATCCTCGACGGCAAGCTCGCCTTGGTCCAGCCCAACAACGCGCCCCGGCGCTGGTATTCGAAAACCTCCACCTGCGCCAGGGAAGGTGGGACGGCGGGAAACGAAGAAGCCGGGGAAGGGAGGTTCCCTAGCTCCCACGGCGACTCCCGGCTGAAGCTATCCCCGCTGGAGGACCTGCGGAATTCCCAGGCGGAATCGGTCCCCGGGGTCCCCGGAGGGAGCGGAGGGGAAGACTCGGTGCCGTCGGCGGCCTCGTCGGTTATAAAATCCCGGATGATGCGGCTGTGCGTGAGCGGCGAGTCGGACCCCTGCGAGGCCGCCGTCCTGGCGACCCGCAAGGTGCAGGCGGGGATCCCGAGAAGGGGCACAAATTCGCGCACCTCGGCCTCCGGTTTGGCGGGCGTTCGGGTTTCGGAACCCGCCCGGGAAGGCCCCCCTGGGGAGGTCCCCTGGGGGTTCGCCACCGCGCTCGCCGTCTCCATCCCGGGGCAAATACTGAGATAAAACGCGATGGGGGCATGCGGCAGGGCCCGCACCAGCGCCACCCAGCGCCGCCGCCGGGTGCGGGTCTTTTTCATCATCACCCCGACGTAGGTCCCGTTGTACCTCGTGCTGTACCCCCACCCCTCGAAGCTCACGTTCGCGCCGTCGAGCATCCAGCGGTGGTCGGGGACGGGGGTGTGGTGGGGGCCGTAGGTGAAGTTCTCCCGCGGGCAGGGCCGCCATTCCCGCTCGTCCACGCTGGACAGCAGCGCGTCGGCGGACCAGCGGCGAAGGTTCAGGTCCAGCCGCTCGTATTGGCAGGTCGAGACGATCGACCCCCAGGCGGCGACCCCGCCGTTCGCGTGGAAGCCCCGCACGGGGCGCAGGCGGGCCGTCTCGGCGATATAGCGGTCGCTGAACAGCTTCGCCAGGGTGTCGGTCGCGCGCGAGACGTCGGAAAGCAGGCCGGAAACGGGGTTCGCGATGACCCCGAGAAGGCCCTGGGCGGTGCCCTTGACGGCCCCGAGCGCGCCGCTCTCCGCGGCCCCGGTGAGGGGGCGCTGGACGACGCCTTTGAGGCCGCTCGTGAGGCCGGTCCAGGTGTTCTGCCGCCGCCGCTCCCGCTCCGAGACGCCGCCGCCGAGGCTGAGCAGGCGCGACCCGGTGTCCGCGATGTTCGCGAAGGCCCCGAGCCCCCCCCGGCCAGGCCCTGCGCGAGGCCGACGGAGCCCGAGGCGAGGCCCTG